AAATAACCAGCGTGGAGCAGCACATGGGAAAGGTCGTTCTTGCAATGCACCAACCCTCCTTCATCTTCCTCCTCGGCAGCCCGAATCCTTGCTCCCCGCCTGCGGTTTGGTGGTGCACAAGAAAAGTGTCACGGATGGAGACCTGAACCTCCACGGGGTGAAGAAATCAGGCAGTTCACAGGCAGAAGGAATGGAGGTTCCTTAGATAAAGCAACAGTGACTCTTGTGGACAGTTTTAAGTATTGCTGTGCTGGCACACCACACACCATGCCAGGTCAGGAAGACTTGCAAGTTCCCTACCCTGTCCTGTCCTTGCCTGCGCCCCATGCATCGGGCAGGGGCGGGATGGGGTGGACCCAGCGAGACACAGAACCTGCCCAGCTCCTGGCAAGCTGGGGTCTGGGGGCTGCCAGATGGCACATCCCCATCCTTGTGGTCAAAAATTCGTCTCATCACTGCTGCAGCCCATCCGTGTTTCTGCCTTCCCCCACGGCCGTGGGCTCCACAGCTCCCTGCTGTGCCTATGGGGAAAGCCCTTCTTGCTGGTGGGCTCTCAGCTTCACGTAGCGTCCCCCAGCACCGGCTGCAATGACACGGTGACTACGCTTTTCCCACTCACCTACTCCAAAGCAGCCCCGGTTTTATACATTTCTAACACTTCCCTCTGAAGGCAGCTCTTCTCCAAGGTGAGGAGACCACGTCCAGTTACCTTCTCTGTGGCAAAAGCTATCCCAGCCCTTTGGTCACCAGAGGAGCTTTTCCTGCACCTTCTCTGCTCCTCTGCAGAGAGAGGGGACATCAGCCAGTGCAGGTCACACAACCACCACAACCTTCTCCAGAGAGACATCGACCTTTTGAGCTTTTGTAGACCTCAGGCATGGAATCACCTCCAGCCAGCCAGTCCCCAAAACCACGGCTCTCGGCCATGCTCGGGGAGGTGCAGCCTCACGCTGGGAGCCCAGGGCTGCTGCTCCTCTCTAACTGCTCTGCGAATGCCTTGAGGATTTCTGTCCTCATTGCCGGTGAACTCAACAGGCGATGATCTCCTTCCACCATCCCAGCAGGCCAAGGGTAAGCCGAGCCTGCCACGGAGGCCGTGGACGATTCAGGGTTTTTCCCACATCAGAGGCCCATTTGTTTGTAGTCTGGGGTGGCAGAGGCTTTCAGGAGCAGCGGGTCCCCTGCTTTAGGGGCCAGGTATCAACTGGATGAGTGCAGCAAGAGCCTCAGTACCAGGCACCAGCCTGAAATGGGGCACGACCCAGGTGGGGTACCCAGTGCCAGTACCCAGCACTTCCCTACAAACACCAACAGGCAGGAGGAAACAGAGGTCAAACAAGGTAAACCAAACTCAAAACTTGATGTTTGATTGTCACCTGCCACCAGCGCAGGAAGCAGGATTCAAATATTATCTATAATTTTGGGTGTGATTCTGCAAGAGCTTTTCATCCTTGCATA